AACCTTGTAATGTATTCTTAGCTTGTCGTATGTCAGCCAACAGTAGCATTAGCCCTCATTGATAATGACTTCAACTGTTTGTCTCAAAGTGGAGAAAAACCTATCTCGGGATTTGCCCACTTTGCATTGTTAGCAAGTCTTTCGTCCATCGTCGCTGGATGTCAGTAATATTCTGTGGATAAATTTACTGATTGCGTCTTTCAAGTACCTCAACTTTTTAAACTCCCTGTGAGACAGATTAAATTGTGAAGCTCTTGAGAGAGTAAGAATATAAAACAGACATCACCCGTGTAAAAACAAAGCAAATGCAGAAATTATTTAACTGCCTGCTTTTCCCATCTTTGGCTTGTATTTGGCAGCTTTGCAAATAAAACTTGGAAGTCATTGTCAACAGGATTTATCAAGTTCCACCTTAAATGTAAACTGAACGTCTGAGAATAATATTGCAGCCAGAGCAAGAAAAAAACAAAGATTAAAGCAAAGTTGTAGCTGTGTTATGTGTTATGAACCCTTAGATGTCTCTGGATGTCCTTTATGTCCTTACCTAAGCTTGAGTGCCTTTTTCTAAAGAACTTTTCAAATGTTACCTTATCAGTAACTGCAAGTCGTGCCTGACATGTTCACTCACACCACTGTATCACAGTTTTTACAATAATTTACTGTAAAAGTAGCTTAATAAAAAAAACAAATGATGGTCAATTTGCCATTTCCTGCTGTTTCATCAAACTGCTAATCCAGCCTTATGATGTGTGACGGCACATTAATGCTGTACGACAGAAGGTGACATTAATAAAGCAGTGTGGGCTCGTGACACTGGACCGCTCTGGTTTCTGGTTGGTCTGATCGCTCAGGATGATATCTTAAAGTGATAGACCTGAGTGTCTGACTCACTGAGTGATGCTCAAAAGCAGCCAGAACACACAGTGACTGTTCCCACATGGGCAAGTATACACTAAGCCCCTCCAATCCCAGCGCACCCTCCTTTTCTCTTTATTCATCAAGCTGAGCGTGATTGAGTGTGACAGTGCTGCGTCTTGACCGTGGCGAAGCTATAATTATCTGTGATGTCTGCTGGTGCAATCAGAGAAGGGGGCCGACGGCATCCACACATCACTAGAGCACGAGCCCTCTGGCCGGCACGGCACATACCGGGCCATAAATAACCACAAGGAGAGTGAGAAGAGGGGAGATGTAAGAGGGAGGCAGTGGTCAGGAAGATAAGAAAATAAAACCTACAGGATGGATAAAAATATAGAGGCAACAGTGAATTGCTGGTTTTCACGTAAGTAGCAAGAAAAAAAGAGAAACAAAGCCTCTTTTGTCCAATTTAGGCCCCTGTTTGACATGTGCAAGTATATCATTATGTCCTCTAAATCGAATTTATGCTGTCTTTGTTATCACATAGACAGAAAGCTACCTTCAGCAATTTCTTTGCCACAAGAGGTCGCCACATGTAGCTACACAGGTTCAATTTGGCAGGTTGAGTTTTGCGCCCTTCCTGATGTAACCCCATCTCTGGCTGGAATTGAACCAGCAGCCTTTCGTTTGCCAAGCAAATGTTTTAACCACTACACCAGAGTTTAAAAAAAGAAGCCTGAAAGTGAATATTTAGAGCAGCCTGAGCTTTTGGCTCTTAGCGATTATTTGCCAATGAGATTATTATTTGAATATTTGGCCATGTTTAATAATCTGAACATGCCAGCAGTGTATATGAAGTATGTTTCAGAAAATAGGAAAAAGCAAGAGAGGTCCACGTGACTGTTGTGTCCCACGACAGTCACATCCAACTTAGTTCTTTATTTTAGTGATTTAAGTCTGATTTAAGGTGTTAACTGTATTGCTCTGTGCATAAGGAGAAAAAACTAAAGCAAACAAACTGAGAAACTATGCACGGCTTAATGTTGAGGATCATTTTCAATCAGTCCAAAATGAGCAGAGGGAGAATAAGATAAAGATATTAGGTAGGTAGCCGTAAAGAGGTAGGTAGCCGTGATAGATCAAAACCAGAAGAGAGAGACAGAGAATGCAAAGGAGCTGAGTGATACAGTGCACCAGCTGGACCGTACGTGCCAGCTCATAGTGTGAGAGTTGCTGACATGTGAGCTCAGCAGTCAAATTTGTAGACAGGACAGGGCACCGAGACTGTGACGAAATGTTCCCAGCAATACAATGATCGCACGGCAAGCCACACAAAGCACTCAAAGTGATGATGCAAACTGGCTGTGAGTGTTCAAACCTAGTAAACATCACAGAGATAAGCTTGGAAAATTAGGTCCAGTGTTCTGACTGTCTACTAAAGGCACTGAAAGACTTGGATTCATGTGAAGTTTAATGTGACATTTGTGCCCAAAATGTTGGTTTTAAGTGGTCAGAATCAGAATACTTTAGTAACCCCACAGAAAACGATGTAATTTGATAATATGTAAGATTTTCATGTAATTTTTTTTTATGTAAGTATAATATAAAATGGTAAATTTCATGATATGCATTCACTTTATATCAAGCATGTTTTCTTTAATGATTGAATATTTGAATAAATAAACCTTTTATTTTACATATTTTTGTTGTATTTTACTCTAAATTATGAATAATCCTTTTTTTAGTGTACAATCTGGTAGTATGTTCCTTCTCCAGTAGGTAACAGCACCGTGGAGCCAAGATGGACTGCGTTATTGTATTTCTGACTACTTTTTTCAAGTAACTAGTAATGTAAGGGATTACTATTGCAAAAAAAAAGTAATTAGATAACTGTTACTTTCCTGTAAACACGCTGCGTTACTGCGTTAGTAAACCATCGTGATTTTGTTTGTGATAGCATCTCATGACACTGACGTAAGCGCATGCGATGTCCGTCGCAGCAACAGACATGTGTAGATCAACAATGGATAATATGGAGTGCGGGAGAGAGTACAACCATGCAGCGTTTAAAGCTTGGAAGTACTGACATTACTTTGACTTTCCGTAAAAAGTGACAAAAACATTAGCATCCGCTGTTCACTCTGCGGGGGAAGAAAACTTCTTTCCTCAGCGTTTCAAATCCGAGCAAGCACCCAGCAAGCCGCCACATGAATGTGAAATTCACAGATCACCCCGCTGACATGACCGCTGCGACAGGACTCAGTGCCGCTGGATCTTTGATTTTATTTTATTTTTTTTGTGTTTTACTTGCATCTATTTGAAAGAGTGAGTGTAAACACAAATCATTATTTTATTTTATATGCTGGAATATGCAGAAAATAGGTTTAAATGTTAAACAATTTCTTAATTTCAAAGACAGTTGCATATATAAATTTTGCTTAATGCAATGTGCATAAAATTAAAAGATTAAAACTAATAAAACATTTTTTAAAAAGAGGCTTTCCATTTGATTATGCATAAAAAATAGAACTGGGCTGAAAGTTTTATTGCTTCTATTGCTACGTATTTAGGTTGTGTATTATGTTTTTTAAAAGTAACTAATTAACTAAGTAACTAATTACTTTTGAAAATAAGTAATCAGTAAAATAATGGGATTACTTTTCTGGAGAAGTAATCAGTAATTGGTAACTAATTACTTTTTTCAAGTAACTTGACCAACACTGGTGTGAAGAAACAAAAAAATTTAGACAAGCAGACTGTTAGACAGTCCATGAATGAAATGTCTTTGACAAAGACACTAAATCTTATGTGCTTTCATGCAGCAGTATCTGCTACATGCTACCTTTTTCATTCTGACTACTTCACTTCATAGCCTGCACTTAAAGTAGCTGCATTACACTGCACTGACAAGATGTCAGCATGTGGGAGTTGGAAAAACTGATGTTGAAGATGTGACAGATGGGACTGATCTTTTCTTTTTTCCCAGATACATAACTTATGCCTCGCATGCCTTGCTGTGTGAATTTATGCTGACAAGACCAGACACCCTGAGCAAAACTGTCTCAGCCAAGTGTTCTAATTTTGGAAGTGATACAGAGCTGCAAAAGCAGCAGTATCTTTACAGCTAAATGACTTTTTACAGCGCCGTCACGGCCTCGGTCTTCTGTTCAATCAGCTGTTAAGCATTGGCTTGGAAATATTTACCTTCCCAAGCATTTCTGCAGATTCAAAAATCCATACAGAATGACTGACACCAGCATTTTAAAAATCTTGTAAACAAGATATGAGGTCTTTATTTTCAGTCAAAAGACATTTCTACTAAAAGTGAGAATTTACAGTATTGAAGCAAAAACCACGTCACACACTTATTTATCTGCAGAACAATCCACACAGTGACTTTAATATCATTGTGCTTATTTGTACAGCATTATAAAATCAGCATAAAACCAAGAACTTGTCTACTACCAGAGACTGAAAGTTTAAAGCTGACATCTACTTGATTTTTGTTGTATTATTATTATATCATTGCGCAGGTTGTATATGCCAAAATAGCAAGTTGTCAAACTAGTGATACAACCAATAAGTGGCAGGCAGTTCGTGTAGACAGTCTACTTAAAGTCTTGAAGGATATGTTCCCCAGTCTACCAGGAGGTTTTCTGATTTTAGTTACAGGTGCAAAATACAAGAATAATATACAACGTCCCTAAAAAATAAGAATATTTCATTTTCAACAGGCTTTTGACAGATTCCTAAAATATTTGTGTTTTTGTGCTTTCATGCCAGACACCCTAATAAATTTGTTAAGAACTGTATAGCATATATATTCTGTAATGTTCAGCTGTGCAGCAGAGAGAATGCAACAAGCTAATTTTAAGTGTTTCCCAGTGAGGCTCTGCAGACATAGAAGATGGGCTGACTATATGAAACTTAAAACCCAATCTCGGCTCTTGGAACTTAAATGCACTTTTAATAAGTAGGATAAGGTTTCAAGACAATAAAGATTAACAAGATTATTGGTGTAGTATTTGTGCAAATTACCGGTTGGTCTTACTGAATCAGTTATATATCATTAAAGCTTTAAAATCCCTCATCATGATGGCTTCTTTTGATAGGAACAATGTGTTTAAGCTCCTTGTGATTACCTTCACCGAGGTCCATGACGGCCAAGACGGCACTGCACCTTGCCTCTCCCAGCTCATTGGTTGCCACGCATGTGTACAAGCCAGCATCACTTGTGCGGCAGTCTCGTATCCAGAGACCACCCGAGTCCTGGGCTTCCGATGGAGATAAGAGCTCATCGTTGCGGTACCAGGCCAGCGAAGGTGTCGGATGCCCCAGCACTGACACCCTCAGTCGGATATCACAACCTGTTCCCACTGCTGCTTTACGGAGCTTACGCACAAAAACCGGAGCTGCTGGTTCTTGGATATTAGCCCCATTTTCTGGAACGTGGTCAATGCTGATTTTGGCCCTCTTGGAAGGGATGTTCGAACTGGAACTGGAACTTGAACCGTGGCTTTCTGCCATCTTGACTTCTTAAAGACTTTTTAATTAACTGTACTTCTTATCTGGCAATTGACTGGGTTATCAAGATGAACTGCATTTATTGAATGCCTCTTCTGAAAGACTCCATTAGTTTAGATGTCTCTGGGCTCACTGGGAGTGCATAGGGGGTTTGAGCTGGGATGTTGCACCAGGAACTGAAAAAAAAACAGAGTATATTTATCACACTGACATCAAAGTTATCTACCGATCCCAACATGCCAAAAAAAACCCAAATAAACAAACAAAAAAGAGATATTTTTACTCTGTAATATGTATAAAATGTATTATTTTGAAACTGGTTATTAAAATGGCTTAAAAGGGGCTGATTGTACCCTTTGTAATGTCTCTATATACCAAGTGAAAGTAAAGTCATTATAAGTGACAAAAAAGCATCCTGGTCTTCAGTGCAAACCTGAATATTGTTGCATGAAATTGTGAGAAGCCCAGGTTTACTACGGGCTTTAGTGGGAAAACTGAGCTTGTTAATGTGTTTTAACCCAAACTGTGACCTTTCCTTATAACCCCAATTCCCCCCAAAAATTGGATGATGTGAAAAATGTAAATAAAAACAGAGTGCAATGATTTGCAAATCTCAAAAACCCATATTTTATTCACGGCGGAGAACAGAAAACATATGAAATGTTTAAACTGGGACATTTTAGTATTTCATACAAAATATTAGCTTATTTTGAAGCAGCAACACAAAAGCCTGGAAAAATAAGTGGAACTAACAAGCAGCTGCTGGAGGCACATTACCATAGTAACATGTTTGTAACATGAATAAGTTTAATGTAAGTAAGTTAAGTAAAGACGGGCAGAGGAGAATAATAATGTTTATATTATTATTATTTTATCATTATTATTAATAATAATAATAATGATATTTTTACATGTTTCTCAATGTAAAACTGTAAAGATTGTGAATATTTCATCATCTGCAGAACATAACATCATCAAAAGATTCAGAAGAGCTGGAAAAATCTCTTTGTACAAAGGCTGAAAATCAATACTGGATGCTCATGATCTTCAGGTCCAAAAAAAAGTGAGGATTCTGCCTTAGAAATCACTGCAGGGACACTTTCAGCAGTCACTGTATGTGTATGTCATTATTGTATGTCCTCTCATTTTGGCACCCGTGCCACGAAACTGATGAACCACAGAGAAGTCAAGCTGTGGTAGCCGGGAGGGAGAACCAATTTTAGAACCTTTTTGGATGCCACTAGTGGGTCTTAGACTAAACAACAGCCTGTAGCTTGAAGAGTGGTACAAGTTGTCAAAGGACTGTGACGCCAAAGGTCGTGATTTGGTTTCCTTCACCTACCTGCAGTTAATGTTGGCAATTTTTTTCTAAATGATAATAATACTAATCAAATGAGGGAAAAATTCATTCAATTATTCAATTATGACAATAAAATGACATTTTTTTGCCATTTAAAGGGCAGAATTTCATAAGCCTGTGTAGGAAAAAGTGTAGTGATCACTCCAGATGACAGCAAGTGGAGAAGCAAAATTAAAGAATAGCTGGCGTATTTCTTTCATGTGTTAATGTATGATGTTTCATATGCTGATCCAAGGAGTCGCCTAAAATAGGCTATATAATAGAAAGTAATGCACCTTACCTCTCTCTTGCCATCAAAGCCGACAAGAATCCCTTTGGACATCCCCGCAAAGTCCATGTTAAGGTAACAAGATCCATGGAGCAAAATGTTTCATCTCAAATCATTTGCTAAAGCCCGTGTCTCTCAGTGTCCTCAGCGAGCACGGGCTGTAGGTGTAAGGCCACCCTAGATCATGTAGCATTAGCAGCCACGGCCATGGTCCCTTTCAACAGCTTGAACCCTGGTGAAGGTGAGACAGAGACAGATCCCTTTTTTCCTAAATGTCAAACGACTCAGGCCTTCCGGTCTTGTGTTTTTACCATTAAAAGAAAATGTAAGTGCTTTTTAAAATCGACACCCTTAACCTTTTTAGGCTTTAATGTTCTCAAGTTGGTTCGTGTTATCTGTCTCCTTCTCTCCCTTGTCACTGCTTCACTCCCAACTCCTGCAGGTCGGGAACGACAGCTGCACCACCACAGATAGGTCACATTTCCTAGCCTGCAATGTATAACCTATTCTCACACACACACACACACAC